TCAAGCTGCCAGGCAGCCTGGGGTTAAGCAACCTCCCGAGGTTCTTTTGGTCAAAGCCATGTGTGACACATCTGATGGGAACCCAGATGAAACTAATTTGGGTAGATGAAGGGGAAAAAAAAGTGCTACGATAAACCATCATCTCGAAGTTACAGCAAAATAACGGGGAGGATCAGGTCCAGCTGAGAGTGTTTGGCAGCGATGACTTGCCAGTTGTTTGGGTCTTTCTTGTTTGGCTCAGCGTGGTCACAGCTGCTGCCATGCTCTTTGGCCACTGCACTTACCATCTGGCAAGGTATGCATCTCCCTTTCTCAACTAAAAGTGCTAGTTTTATGTAGATAACTTGTCCTCCTGCTGCTTGTGACCCGCCTGCAGTGGGACAGCAAGGGATTCCTTGCTATCTGCAGCAGTGTGAGGGATGTACCAGCCCAGCAAGAGGGCAGAGGGGACCATGCTGTGGCCGTGCCTTGGCCACAGGCCCTAGGTGGGAATCTCCCCTTCAGGCAGCCAGATTGTAGGGAAGGAGGAAAGCAGAGGGCTGGGAGGTGTCTGGCATAAGAAGCCAAATCGGGAGCTTGTTTATTTCCCCCACAATTTGGAGGACAAAGCCTCCAGCGCTGTAGGAACTCCCTGTTCATGTTGCCACAGACCGAGGCAGCACTGAAAGATGTTGTTCTTTCTCTTCCTGTGCCTTCCCAAAGCAGCTGCTCCCTATTCCCATCTTATATTTGTTCCACAGACTTGCTGGAAATATAACTTCTGCCCTGTTCTCCCCCTCCAGCCCTGCGCACGGAGCTGAGCTAATGCCAGGCACCAGAGACTGTTTTAATTTCTGTACTGAAGAGGGCAACCCTGGCATCTGAAGCTGTGTGTGCTGCAACCAGAGGCTGAAAAGGAACAAAACCGATGAGACAACTGGCAAGTTACCCCGTGACCCCGAGGAGTGTGTGAACGAAGAGAGCAGTGTTTCCAACCATCCAAACCACCAGGGTGTTTTCATCGCCGCAGACGGGGCTGTGCCTGTGATCCACAAAGTCAAGGAAGGGAGACAGCCTGCCACAGGACACAAAAGCTCTTTGCAGGTAGGAGATGAAGAAATGGATAAATTGATAGTGAGAAATAGGCAAGAAGGTTACAGAATGTGATACCGTGTCTTGTGCAGCTACTGATGTGTGTCGAACGAAATCAGGGCTCTGCTACTTGCACATTTTGTAAAAACATAGTGTGTCTTTACTATTTTGTGGAATGAAAAAAATTTCATGTCCTTTCTATTAAATGTTGCTGGCAAATGGCTGTGAGACATCCCAGCAGACTGAGACCCAGACAGGTAACAGCCTCAGCTTCCCCTGGTTTAATTCTCTTTGCTGATACTTACCTTTCCATAGTAACATTTGAAAGATTTTGCTATGAACTTTTCTTTTGTTTAGGGAAAAAAGTTGACTCTGCCACTGGTTCAGTCTGTGTTTACACCACACACTGCACTTTGTAAAGGGAAAGCAGTGTATTTGTCTGCTTGACAGGCGAAAGGGAAATGTTTTTAACAGCTGTAAAAAAAATCCCACATTGTAAAACATGTCGTTTATAAATCAAAGCTCCAGAGGGAGATCTTTATCAAAGCGCATTATTAAGGTAAACACATCAATCTTAAGCCTGGCCAGACCAAAATAGCTTTTTTTAACTCTCGGTTCCCAGTGTGTGGTACACATTGCTCCACCCAAGGAGCACAAGAAACATTGCCAGAGAAGTGTGAAGTTCCTCCATGGACAGTTCAGTTGTGTTGTTGCATACAGAGCTGCTCAGCTGCTTCCCTGCCACTCACCAAATCGGGGGGGACGGATTAAAAGTCTTGAGAAGTTTGAGATGGGTGGTAGCAGGGAGCAGCAGGGGAGAGGTCTGTGGTGGGACCCCAAAAGCACCAATGCACCCACCACATTGGTCTGTGGGCTCCAAGGCAGCACCCAGCAAAACCAGTTGCCCTGGGGAGCTCCTGAGAGCCACCCAGCCACTCTTGAAGTCCCTCCAGAGCCCAGGGATGGGAACAGATGCCTGCTGCTGGCATTTTTCCTGAATGAGCCTGTTTGTATTCAATGCAGCTGCTCTAAAGGGTCACAGTTTCTGACGGAATGTGTCCTATTACAAAGCATTCCAGAGGCTAAATTTAGGGGTGGCTTTTTGGAAAAATAAAAGTCTAAAAATAAGTATTTGTAGCCAATTAATGTTTGGTTTTTTTCTCCCACTTTATCTCCGTACAGCAGGAGCCAGCTAATGATCGTTAAAACGAGGGAAGGGAGGATTTTTGCTAGGACTGGCAGTACGTTATCATTCAGCAAGGATCCAGGCTGAGGGAGCCTGTACAGGAGGACCCGTTATCTTCAGCTAAGTCATGGAGGTTTGTCCTTACTGTTGTTTCCATCGACTCATAAATATAACATCCACAGCACTTAAAGAAACATGCCAGATCCACAGTAACAGAGTTCTCCATCCCTAAGCAGCAGAAGTCAGACCTTTTCTTTCATATCCCACAATAGAGTCCCTTTGCTGAAAAGTCACCCCCAGCTATATACTATAAATTTAAACAATCTAACCCCATACTGTTGCTTCTCTGGAAAGGTAAATGGTGCAAAGCGCACCCCCAGGGTGTATGATGTGCTTCACGAGGCAAGTGCCAACAGCCCAATAAATTATTTAACAATATTATTATGTAGTGGTGAAAGCCAAGCAGAGAGATTCAACAAAGCATAATTTCCTGATTCCTTCTTTATTTGGAGCGCAGGTTGAAACAATCTGTTGGCAGCTTAGTCATCCTTCTGTTATCCCCCTGGCACATATCTGCATTCCTTTCTTCCCCAAAATCTGGGAGGGCAAAATTCGTTTTCTATTAAAGAAAAAACACCAACCCAGAAAACAAAATTAAAGCAAGCAGGTGTGCTGCCTGCGAGCTGCCTGCATCCATCACCACGGCTGCAGTTTCAGTTGTGGTGCAGATGCTGGCAACACCGGAACAAATCAATTCAGTGACTCAGCAAGAGAGGCAGAGAGGAGACACAGCATTAACAGCTGGGTCATTCCGCTCCCTTCCCGATATTAGTACTACATAAATATTGTCTTTATTTGCAGTTTCATTCATGCATTCAAGCACGTGCTGACCATTCAAAGGATGCTAAGCAAATATGCAGATTAAAGCTGACTTTCTGTAGAAGCCCTCTGCAAACTGGGGGCCTTGTTTCTGAACCAGGAAGATTTGTATTGGTTTCTGTCCTATTTGGCTACGTGACTTTAGGCGTCACACTGGGCTCACCACTGCCTCGGGCTCCTCAGCTGCTCAGCACAGAGCAGACTGGACTACGAGGCTGTGGTTTACATACTGCTCATAAGCTTCACCGTTTTTAAAATAGCATATGAAACCCTCCAAGAGAAACCACCACTGAAGTGTAAAGCACTACCATCAAACAGGTGAGGGCAATCTGCTTTATAAAAAGTGTATCTGCTACTCTCCAGCTGATTGATGAAGGAAACATTACATGTGTGCAGGCACCAAAATACCCAATAGGATTTCTTTTACAGGTTGTTCTACATTACATGTGTGCAGGCACCAAAATACCCGATAGGATTTCTTAACAGGTTGTTACTTTTCCACATGGTCCACAATTAGAAACATCTTTTACAGAAGTCCAAATCAATTCTGGAATTCTATCTTAATGATTTTTTGTATTGTCAACTTCTGCCAAAGACAATAGTTTACTAAATGCCACATTTCCTGGAGCAGAAGCATAGGCTACCAATTATTATTATGAAATCTCAGTATGTTTAAAGCAAAACTTGTCATTTTAGTGGCAAACTTTGCCAGGAGAGTCTTTCAGCAGAGGGCAGCTGGACTGTTCATACTGGAAACCATCAATGACTCTCTCCTATATTGTCAAAAATGTGCACGTGAAAAAAAACAACCCTACCCTAAAGGTACTGTATTTCTGTACTTATTTATACTGTATTTAATGAGTCATTAAAAAAAATAAATCATGTTTTATACAGGTCTAAAGAGCCCTCCACATTTGGCTAATCCAAGTTAGTATACTAAAAACCAGGCAGATGATTTAAAAGGGCTTACACTTACTCCTAAAAGGATTTCTTAACAGGTTGTTACTTTTCCACATGGTCCACAATTAGAAACATCTTTTACAGAAGTCCAAATCAATTCTGGAATTCTATCTTAATGATTTTTTGTATTGTCAACTTCTGCCAAAGACAATAGTTTACTAAATGCCACATTTCCTGGAGCAGAAGCATAGGCTACCAATTATTATTATGAAATCTCAGTATGTTTAAAGCAAAACTTGTCATTTTAGTGGCAAACTTTGCCAGGAGAGTCTTTCAGCAGAGGGCAGCTGGACTGTTCATACTGGAATACCATGAATGACTCTCTCCTATATTGTCAAAAATGTGCACGTAAAGAAAAAAAAAACACCCTACCCTAAAGATACTGTATTTCTGTACTTATTTATACTGTATTTAATGAGTCATTAAAAAAAATAAATCATTGTACTTATTTATACTGTATTTAATGAGTCAAAAAAAAAAAAAAAAATCACGTTTTATACAGGTCTAAAGAGCCCTCCACATTTGGCTAATCCAAGTTAGTATACTAAAAACCAGGCAGATGATTTAAAAGGGCTTACACTTACTCCTAAAACGTGTTACAGCTTTGCACACATAAACTTACACATTTTTTGACATCTGTAGCTAAAATTATATTAGTAGTCCAAAACAGTCATAGCAATGTAAAGATTTTAACTGCCAATTGGTGCACTTGTAGAGTCCAGTGTGCAAAATCCACTTCTAAAATGCAGTTTATAACTAATTTTGGATAGTGAGAAATTGGTTAAACACAGGTTGAGACAAATCTTTTTAAAGAAAAATCCTACCAATGCAATGACTAATAAAATTTAAGTCAATTTGCTCCTGTAAGCTATGTACTATTTTTGTAGAAGTAATGAAACAGGTATTTAAGAAAATCCAAGTAATTTTATTTTGCTCATAGACATATGTATAGGGTAACACCAGCATCACCACTTATATACAAAATTAATCTGGCACAGCAGAACACCAACAACTTCCTCATCGGGCAGTTACGATCGAGCAGACAAACACTGATTCACCACTTCCAGTAAGTGAGAGTTTTCCAAGGCAGCTGCTACACGTTCTTTATCAGCAAGCTGTTTGTTGACTGTGTGGAAAAAAAAACACACACCACAAGAAACCGATCAAAACATTGGCATACAATGTCTTTTTAAAATTATTTTACAGTGAGATCCATAGCAACAGCATGGGGGATGTTTCTCAGGTAGGCCAATAACTCTGCAGATGCCAAGCAGGCCTAGCAGAGTTGCAGTCTAAAAATCAAAGCTTGCACGTTGCTGCAAGTTAAATGCATGAGTTGCTTGTGACTCAGCAGTGGGGGCTGCGTGTGTGTAGGTGTAACACCAGCAGAAATTTCCCCCCTTTCCCGAGTCCTCCATAACCCCAACAAATCACTGAGGAGTTGAGAGCGCAGGTTGCCCGGGGAGCTGTGTGGAGAACATGTCCCCATGTCATCACTGCACACGCCTGATGGGTGACATCCCCCAGAAGGTGACACACACACCGTCCCAGATGCTGCCCAGCTGCTCTGCACCTGTGGCATCCCTCTCCTCTCCCATTTGCAAGATTTAAAAAAAATAAATAATAAGATGACCACACAAGAGAGCACTAAAAGCCTTACCTGCATGCTCCGAGGCGTGTGTCCCTGGTGTTATGTGAACATCCAGCTTAAAAGGCACCGCAAAAGAAAAAGGGGACAAGTCAACACAACATGGGAAGCTCAACTTGAATAAGACAATAACAAAAAGAGTGAAAAAGGGATATTCTTGCCAATACTAGTTACTGTACAACAGCAGAGTAAAATAGAGTGTAAAATCACAGAATATCGTGTATTCCCACCTGCTGAAGCCTCCTTTGGGCTCCCTCTGCTTCCTGGGGGGCTTCCCCCACCCGTAACATGAAAATACTGGTTGTTTTTCGCTGTAAGTTCATTAGCTTTTCTTTCCGGGGCCCCCTCCCGCTCCCCGGACCCACCTTGAACCTCTCGGGCAGGGACCTGAGCAGCTTGACCTTGATGGAGAGCCCGATGAGGGTGGCCATGCTGCAGTGCGGGATGGTGGGGGTGAACTCCACCGCCACCGTGCTCTCCGCGTCATTCACCTGCGGGAAAACACACTGCCGCTGGACCCAAAACCCACCGCTTTTACCCCAAACCAGCAGGCGGCGTTTAACGTCACACCCAACCCGACCCAGCACTTCGCCGCTTCCAGATTTCTCCCCGGGCATGTTTTATTAAGTACTACGTTTAGCTGCGGCAGGCTGCTGTGAGGAAATAATTAAGTTAATGAGCGGTAGCGCTGCCCCGCGGTTGGCGGGCGCGTCCCGCAGCCCGGCCCGGTCCCGGTCTCACCTTCACCCGCATTTGCTCCACGACGTTCAGCTCCTCCAGGGTGAGGGGGTGCTCGGGGTCGTTAATGGAGCGGATGAGATGTGCCGGGTTAAGGAAAGCGGCCCCGCACACCCCCAAGGCCCGCTCCCGCACCCCCCGGCCCAGCCCGGCCCGGTCCCCCCCGCTCCCGGCAGGATATCGAAGATCTCCCGGTCGTCGATGGAGTCGGGCAGCTCATCGTCCTCCTCCCGCGCCGTCACGGGTCGCTCCCCCGAGCGGCGGTAGATGAGGGGGTTGGCGTTCTCCAGCGGCGCCCCGCCGCCCGGCCCCGGGCCCACCATGGCGGCCGCTCCCCGCCGCCTCCTCCGCCGCCGCCCGGCAGGAAGGAGCCCGGACGCTGTTCGCCGCCGCACCGGGAGCTGCAGGGGCGGTCGGTCCCCGCTTCCCCGTGGCGGGGGCGCCCTCCCGGG